ATATAACCTATTAAAAATACTACCTATTTTTTATTTTAAAATATTGTTATATTAGACTCATGTGATGGACCGGTGGCCAAGAGCGAAGCGAAGCAGTTAATAACCTGCTGACAGATGCGGTTGTAGTTTTGACAACAGCACAGGAGGAGCTCCTGGTAGTAAAGTCATCCTTTCAACAAACACGAACGGCAGCGTGTTCCTGCAGGCGCCGCACGACGCAGCGGACATAACGCTGCCTGCGTTAGCCTCCGCCCTCGAGCGAGGCGAGGGAGCGTATTTCGCAGAGCAAACCACCGTGACTTACCGGCGTGAGAGCCGGGAATGAACCACAAGCAGCCGTTCTCCCGCGTGGCATCCTCCAGGGCGATCCAGAACCCCAGGATCCTGCCCAGAGGCTCCGTGTGCAGGAAGGTGGCATCCTGGTGCGGGGTCACTGCAGGGAGGCACAGTCGTGAGGGTCTTCCGATGCCCGAGGACTCCAGGACTGCTAGGAGGGCAGCAGGCTTGTTCTCCCCCACTCCTTGACCTGCCCTGCCCACCCATCTGGCACCCACGTTAAATTGCACGTAAATACTGCCTTTCAGCCTGCTGCAAAGGTAAAAGTGGCTCCCTGTTCAAGTTGCGTATGAGGTAGAAAGATTTCTGGAAAACACGGATGGTTTTCAATAATTTTAAGAAGGTTTGGACCACGAGACTCACAGGCTTAAGTCTGATTCTGAGCCTTTAGCCTGGTAATATTCCTTTCCTGAAGGAGTATTATCTGCAGCGTGATATAGAGATAATATGAATCTTACCTTCACCGCCAATGCCAGGTTGCTGCAAAGAAAGAAAGGTGACGTGTGAAGAGAGGAGTTTCACAGCTTCCCACCTAATAGGGTCTTACTTGAAGTGACAAGACGACTTGAGTTACTGTACCTTGAAGATATACATGCTTTGCACAACTACTGGTCTCTCAAGGCCCAGTTTTCTTCCCAATTCCTGAAAAAACACAAAATAAAACAAAACTCTCAGAAATTTGTTTGCTGTTTTGTGCACCCTACAAAGCATTATTCTTTGAAGATCTTTAAATTTCCTTTTAAGGACAAAGTTACTATACTTCGGAGTCTAGAATGTTTCTATTAACTACCCCATAATTTATTTTTCCCAGACTATTCTTGGAAACGGTAACAGCTCACCTGCACCTTGGAGGAGTGGGTGATTTGCTTGAAGACAGGATCATAAGCATGTAAAGCTAAGGGGAAAGAAAAGGCTGAGACTGAAGATTTCATTAACGGAAGGGAACTCTGCAGCACCCGATGATGAGCTGCAGAGACAACAGCCAAGCAAGATAAATTGCAACCAGAAACTTTCATCCCTCCCAAGAGCAGATATACACGGTTATCACACCTCAGGTGATAGGACACTTGCAGATATTTACAATCTTCTTTAGAGTCCAAAAATATAATCACTCACAAGCCACAGCTCTATACAAAAAGAGTGCATAGAGTGAAAAAAATTGAGTATTATGCGATTACATATTATATTATGCATATGCTATCGTGACAACCGCTATACACAACCCTGAGGCAGACAGGTGAATTCTCCCTTTAAAAAAAACCAAACAAAAAACCCCCAACAGTTCTTAAGACCTACCAAAAAAGTAATTACTGCAAAAATGAGCTAGGGCTTATTTTTGGTGCCCTTCGCAGAGGACCACAGCCTGCAGGTCAGAGCTATTTGTGCACAGGCGCTTGCTACAGCCCAGCTCTGCCAAAACCATAAAGCAGACTTGGAATCGCGCCTCCGTCTCATCGCGATCCCATTTGCCACAAAGACACACGACCGGGTCCAGCAGGGGCTGCTCCCGAGCAAGGGATGAGGCAAGACTCGACCGAAAGGAGCAGTTACAAAAAAATAAGTCCCGAGAAGCCTTTTGAATTGTTAAGTTGCTGAGTCAGCAGCCATCGACAGTTCTTTCACTTCCCCTGGGGAAAAGCTA